TGTTCCGATAGCTCTGTGGAGCCAATGAAAGCAGAAGAAATCTCCCACTCTGTCTGAGCGACAACCGAGAGATGTTTCCCTGCCAGTTATAAAAGTGACGATTTCTATTGATATCAGCATAGTTATAAACTGTTTTAAAAAATCACAAATAATCAAGTACATCAAACACTTCAGCAAGCTAAAGTGCATAATGTGGCTGGAGTGTTCCTTTAATATAAGAATTGTTTTGTATGTATGTGATTCTTATTCCCAATTCCATGTGCAACAAACATAGCCAGATGCGCATATAGTGGAATCAATTCACATATTTTATTAATACTCTCAACCCATGTTTGATAACACAGTTTGTATGCAGAAATAAAAAGAATGAAAAGAATATCATAAGCTCTGGTGACTACCGTGTAAGTGCTATCTGATCCTTGAAATAAGATAACAAACTTTCCAGTTTCAGAACAGTAAATTTTGCAGTGTGCTCATTTAATCTATTTAGCTGGCTGTTTCCATTAAATTTACCCCAGAGAGCTTCCTGAAGCAGTGCTACTGATACAGACATCAGTATTTTTATTATGTTTCAGCCCATATACTCAAAAAGCAATAGATTGACCTGTGCACAGAAATCTCACTCGTTTCCAGTTCAGGTTGTTTAAATATTAGGAAAGAAAGCAGTAGCATAAAATATGCCAGAGTTTATTAAAGCAAAGAGGAGTAGCAATCAGAACTTGAACCTTTTGCAGGTATGAGGCAAATCCATGGCTTCATACATTTTAGTGACATTTGCTCCGATACTGATACTATCTTCATCATTCTGCACACTGTAGTGGTTATGGTGCCCGAGCGTTCCTTTAATGAATAGAAAAAAATTCACACAAGGAACAATACATACAGACACATTAGGGTTAAATTACAAGTTCATAATAGTGCTGTTGTTCTTCAATATATTAAACCAATAAAGGGACACTCCACTGCACAATTTAGCTATTTTTTAAATCACTGTTTAGTACATATAATTCATTGGGTGTACATCTAAAAACAGTGAGAAAAAGCTACAAATCACTTGTCTGAAGCATTTGCAAGCCCTCCCCTTATAACTCCACCCAGACTCTCTGTGGTTGTCCAATCACAGACTTCCCAATGCAGCTCAATGAGGCACGTGTTCTGAGCATTTGCTGCCTCCTGATTTTAGCTCCACTGTAACAGGACTGGTTGTCTGACTGAAAGCCAGGGGGATGTTAATTTATAAATGTAGAAACATAGAAACATGGAATGTGACAGCAGATAAGAACATTTGGCCCATCTAGTCTGCCCAATTTTCTAAATACTTTTATTAGTCCCTGGCCTTATCTTATAGTTAGGATAGCCTTATGCCTATCCCATGCATGCTTAAACTCCTTTACTGTGTTAATCTCTACCACTTCAGCTGGAAGGCTATTCCATGCATCCACTATTCTCTCAGTAAAGAAATACTTCCTGATATTGTTTTTAAACCTTTTCCCATCTAATTTAAGACTATGTCCTCTTTCTGTGGTAGTTTTTCTTCTTTTAAATATAGTGTCCTCCTTTACTGTGTTGATTCCCTTTATGTATTTAAATGTTTCTATCATATTCTCCGTCTCGTCTTTCCTCCAAGCTATGCATGTTAAGTTCCTTTAACCTTTCCTTGTAAGTTTTATCCTGTAATCAATGAACCAGTTTATTAGCCCTTCACTGAACTCTCTCTAAAGTATCAATATCCTTCTGAAGATACGGTCTCCAGTACTGTGTACAATACTCCAAGTGAGGTCTCACCAGTGTTCTGTACAATGGCATGAGCACTTCCCTCTTTCTACTGCTAATACCTCTCCCTATACAACCAAGCATTCTGCTAGCATTTCCTGCTGCTCTATTACATTGTCTTCCTACCTTTAAGTCATCAGAAAAAAATTACCTCTAAATTCCTTTCCTCAGATGTTGAGGTTAGGACTCTATCAAATATTCTATACTCTGCCATTGGGTTTTTACGTCCAAGACGCATTATCTTGCACTTATCCACATTAAATGTCAGTTGCCACAACTCTGACCATTTTTCTAGTTTACCTAAATCATTTGCCATTTGGCTTATCTCTACTGTGCATCAGTGTCAAAAGCCTTACTGAAATTTAGGTAAGCAATGTCTACTGCACAACCCTGATCTATTATTTTAGTTACCCAAAATGTGCCAATTAGTTTCTTTTGCAATCTGCACGTTTTGTAAAATGAAAAAAAGAGGACACACTCGTCATCCGTAACAGAGTCTGGAGTGTCCCTTTAAGTATTTTCACAAGTTCTCTGAAATCTCCTGTCCAGAAATATTCCTTTTTCACATCGTCAATTATTATTGTTGCTAAAAAAACAACATGTTATGATGCACGCTGATACAAAACTGAAGTGAATCCACATCAAACAAGTACGTATACTTCCTTTCTTTTTTTTTGACTTGGAACCCTCAGTTTTAATAGTAGATATTAGCATTGTTTGTTTGGCTCCTGAAGGATAATTTGGTAAAAGCTCTTTTCAATCCACAGCTCAGTAGTCAGCACAGGAGAGAGAAAGCACTGAGCCGACGTGTGCCTTATTGTCTGGATATTTTAAATTGAGTTTGACAGAAAGTTGGCTTCTTGGAAAATAATTGAGTGTCCTTGCTCCAGGTTCCTCTTCCTTCTGATGCAGGTTGTTAGACGTGTTTATGCCAAGTTCACAGTTGGTTGATTATTATTCTTCCTCCATGCTATGTGGAAAATGTAAAAATGGCATAAAGAATTGCAGGACATATATATATCCCACTATAACAGGTCAATTTATTTCTTAAAAAGCTTTCTTGCTATTATTACCACCTAATTCATAGCATACACATCAACTAAATTGTTCAATACTTCCATTAAACCTGACACACGTATAAAGGGATTATTCTTTTCTAGCATACGGAAAAAAAACAACTCTGTTTTGATAACAATTACTATACAGCATGTATTGGCCGGGTATCAGGAGAATATTTGGCAAATTTCAGGAAAGAGATGTTGCAGGTTAACACATTGAATAGCTACTGTAATGAATAAGCTCTGTGTTCAAACATGTCCCAGTGCTGATTTATCACAACTTGTGTGTTTAATTTAAATGCAGATGTGCACATGGGTAGCTTCTCTTCCACCTGCCCTCTCACTGCTCAAGATAGGGGAAATGCAGTGTTCCAACTGATGCTCTATGACCATGTCCCCCACATGTAGATCTGCTAAGCCTATGACTTTTTCTTAGACTTTTTTTTTTTTAAGAATAAAACTCGTGATTAGATTAATATATTATTATATACATAAGATATGTACTAGACTCCTGAAAATTAATTTACATAAGCATAACTCCCAAACCCAAAAGTCCAGATTTATCAGGACAGCACCAAATGTAGATCTATGCCCCGATTTGTTCTATGGTGTCCTACTTCTAAGAACTCCCCAATAAGAGCAGTGTGAGCACATCACTAAACTGAAGATCGCGCATGCTTCTATATTGAGTTAGGCCCTTTAAATATATATGAATGAGGAGGAGCTCATTTTGGAATGCCATCAGAAATGTAAAACTTACTGAAACATTGTTGCCATCAAGGTAAGTTAAAGCATAAGGAGCTCAGTGTCACAACTGAGCTGCAGAATGCACCTGCAGGCCCTGGGGAGATAGCACAGCTAAGCAGACAGGGACACATATATAAGCGTGGGGTTGGATGCTTGTGATTGGTTGTGTATATGGGAGTGGTTATGTGTTTGGGAGTGGTGTATGGATCATCTTACCTCTGTGCGTATTGTGAGACGGGCCAGCAAACAACTTACCCTTACTCTGTTGCTCCTGTTTGACCTGGGCCTTTGCAAACTTTCTGATTGAGGATGGATGTCGAAGCAATCCTGTCTGCCCTCAGAGCTTCAGCTGCCCTGGATGGTAGCAGGCACCTCTCTGAGCAATATGCTCACCTCCAGCCTAGTTTGGCCACATGTGTGGTTCCCCCTTTGGCCAGGTCTCTGCTGGGGCCTCCCATGTGGCCACAGCCCCTGCGGGCCACACGAGCATGGGCCAGCGGTCCCATCCGCCTATTCGCTTAAGCCCTGATCTTCACCCTGTTCTGGCTATCGTTCCCCCCTATCTGTGTCCCCTGCTGGTCCCTCTGTCTCCTCTGGTTACTTACCTCAGCTGCCCTCCTCTGCAGGGTGTGAGCTTACCTCCTCTCTTCTCACAGGATCTCCTCCTCTGGTGGGGAAGGACGGCAAGGAATCAGAGAAAGAGAAGGAAAAATTCCGCTACGAAAGATCCCCAAGACTTTCGGAAATTTTATTCAAGCGTTTTCGATACTGGCTAGTGTCATTGGGGAGAATGCTCCACAGAAGTGCTCCGCATTGTTCTGCTACCAGGACACTATTTGGAATGCTTGTCGTACTTGTTGCGGTCTGGGCTGGTGGAAGTATGACCAGCAATTTTGTCAACAGTTTGCGCCCGCCAATTTCATGGGACCAGATGGATATTGGCCTCTGGTTCTCCATTATGACCCGCCCTGCACCAGCAGGGTGGTTCCTCGTCCTTTCTTGAGGGGGCCGGTGGGGGTGGATCCTCCTCCTCACCGGCCACGCAGCAGAGGCCAGGCTGTTGTTGGAAATTTAATGACAGTCATTGCAAATGAGGAGACTAGTGGGGGTTGTCAGCCCATCTCCTGGTGTTTCAAAAGGGGAAAAGCTAGCGAGAAAGGGGATCTGGGGACTAAGGGCAACAACTCCAGTGGTCGTAAGCGCAATGCGCACATGGCTCGTCCGTTATAGGAATCGGCGGGCAGGCTTTGAGCACAGTTTCCTTGATTTCTTTCTCATTTCACCCCCCTTCTCTGCTGGTTCGGAACCTTCATTCGGTATGTGATTTTCTGCATGTGGTTCGAGAGAAACTTGGGAAGGAGGTGTCTCTGAGTCACAATGGCGAGTCTCTTTTGCGACCCTCCTTTAACGGACTTGCGTGTGTCCCCCTTGGGTGGGGTGCCCAAAAAGGAGCAGGGAAAGTACCATATGATTCATCATCTGTCGTACCCTCGTGGGGGTTCGGTGAATGACATCTCTTCGGAACTCTGCTGAGTGTCCTACACGTTACTTGACGTGGCAGTCGGCATGGTCAGGGCCGCAGGCCCAGGGGTCGGTTAAGGTCGACGTGGAGGCAGCCTTCCATTTGCTGCCAGTGCATTCAGATTGTCATCAAGTCCTGGGTTGTGTTTTTGAAGACATGTTCTAAATGGATATGTGCATCCTGATGGGCTGTTCCATATCCTGTTTCTACTTCGAGTGCTTCAGCACTTTCCTGGAGTGTGTGGTCAGGAGGGAGGCCAGGATCGACTCCCTGCTTCATTACCTAAATGACTTCCTTTTGTATGGACCCTGACAATCCGCCTGTTTGTTCGCTGTTGCTGCGAGTTTTGTGGGATGTTTTTTGGCGCTTTGACGTACCATTGGCCCATGACAAAATGGTGGGTCCAGTCACATGTCTCAATCATCTTGGGCATCGAGACTGATTCTGTGGCAGGGTAATGCCATTTGCCCTCGGATAAGCTTCATGGCTTAAGGCGGGAAGTGTCTCTGGCCCTACGGCTGCGTAAGATCCAACTGCACAGTCTGCAGTCTCTGCTTGGTAAGCTGAATTTTGCCTGTTGGATCATGCTGATGGGGTGGGTTTTTAACAGGCATCTGGCGACGGCCACGTCCGGGGTCTCCGGACCCAGGCACTTCATTCAGCTAACTCAGCCTCTGCGGGATGATCTGGAAGTGTGGGACTCCTTTCTGGCTGCCCAATTTGCGCATGTCCCCCTTGGCCGTGGTGCCCAAGAAGGAGGCAGGGGAATCTTCACTTAATTCATCATTTGCCGAACCCTCATGGGGGTTCGGTAAATGACGATATCTTTACAGAGCTGTGTCAGGTGTCTTATGCATAATTCGATGCTGCTGTTCGCATAGTCAGGGCAGCGGACCCTGGGGTGTTGCTGGCAAAGGTGGACGTTGAAACCGACTTAAAGCCGTGAACCAGAACAGACCTCGTAAGCAGTCTATAACACTTCGTATGGACCTAACCACTAATGGAATTAAGCAGGGCAGAAAGAGACATAGAAATACAATAAATACTACTCCTCCTAATAATGCCTTAATCCCTCCAAGCTGCTCATACCAACTTCCAAATCAACTACTTGGGTTACAGCCACTCCAGACCTGAGTAGGTACATGCCCTTCATCGTCTATGTGCAGACAACAGTTACTTAGATTAAACTTCCCGCATACACCTCCCTCTACTGCTAATAAGTAGTCCAGAGCTAATCTATTTTGATAGATGGCTGATCTCATTCGAGTATTATGTTTAGCTAGGAGATTGAGTGCTTGTGCTGTCTCATTGGTGATAATCTCAACCACTGCCTGTAGTCTTATAATACAGTTGAGCATATATATTGGGGTTCTATATCCATAACTACCATCTTCTGCCCAAGTACCCGGTCCATAATAATTAATAATACGTTTGGGAGGCCACTCATCATCTTTCCAGCTACCTATATTCAAAGATGCTCGCTTCTTTTTATGATTTACATCATAAACCTTAACTCCCAACGTCTCTCCTGTTTCGATTGGCAACAAGAAGGATGGTTTGAGCATACCTAATACACATGCCCCTTCCCAGTCTTGTGGTAACTCTGAATATACCTTATTACCACAAATCCAGTATAGATTGGATGTAGGTATGGTATTGTAGCAGATAAATCAAACCATACCTCTTTCAAATTAGTGTAACTGGCAAACTGATTAGTAGGTTCCGAGACATTTGAAGCTGAACACCAAGTAGTATCGTTTGTATTATCATTATAAGCCTTTTGTCCCAAACATGTTAACTCACCTACAGACGTGTTATACATTGTCCCTTTCCTAGCTACACAAACATGACCTATAATAGAGGTTTTTAACCACCATTCTGATTTACCTGTAGTACTTACTTGATGATCAGACTGAGAAAGTATCTGTTGTTCATCTGTCTCAGAACCAGGGTACCATGCTTCCTTTGCTTCCCATGGCCACTGGTCTCCCATATTAGTACCTCCACATACAAAACAGTTAGTTACATTAAGACTACCTGCAATACTCTCAGCTAAATCTACAAATAGGTTCTTAACATTATGGGGAATTTTATCCTCAATATTTATCTCCTCATAGAAGGAATGAAAAACCTGATGTCAGGGCTTCTTTGCTGTTTTAAACAGCCACCCTTCCTTTTTCAGTGTCTGAGGTTTCAGCTGTAATTAACGATCAGCTCCTTCAGTATGTTGCCACGGTTACTCACCTGAGAATAGTAATCAACCCTGCTGCTAATCAGTTCAGCCTATTGAAGCAGCAAATCCCAGAACCTCCTTGCCCTTGCGTGGTTTCCTGTTCCCCAGAAGTCGCCTTGTTCCTGTGTTTCCTGTTTGCTCCTGGTTTCTGACTCTGGCCTTGTTCCTGACTCCGCTGCTCTCCGTTCTCCTGATCCTGGCTTGTCTGACTACCCGCTCTGGTGACTGACCCCTGCTTGCCTCCTGGACTTTGCTTTTGGTTATTTCTTTGTTATTTATTAATAAAGGTGTTTTTGCATCTAGTTCTGTCTCTATCTGGTTCCTGGTCCCTAATACCTGATGAGTCTGGGTTGCTACTGTCATCGTTTCAATGCCTACATATATAATAGCCCCAGGATCCAACCCTGTTCCATATATTTGGAACCCAAATAGATTTCCGAACTTGTCTAAGTGTTGCGGGTTAGAAATGGTCATATGGACCGGATTACACTCCATAGATTTACAATGTGGTGTGGTAGGCAACCTTTGGATAATCTTGGTCTATTGTTTTACCCCAGGTTGCCCACCCCACACAAGACCAATATGGACAGAAATTAAAATCTCTATTTGGGCAATCAGGATCAGTAGATCTTTTACTGGGACATAAATATTTGTCATTGGACCCATAAGTTCGTTCACAATTTAGATTACCACATACATTCCAAGGTTTTCCACTACCCGAGATCGCCTTACATGCATCAAATAGTAGAATACCCGTAGACTGTATTGTATTTATCAAGGTCCCCTGAGAGTTACTATTCCGAATTACCAACAAAATTATACGGGGTTGGAATTGGGGATCAAAACATTTAGGCTCTCCTACTGCTGGGTGACACATACTGTAATCAATATCTAAATATCTACATTTATATACAGATCCCTTACATTCATACTTGAGTGCCAAATAAGAGTTTGGGATATTTGATTACCTGTTTTTGTAGTCTTAATGCAACTATCACAATTCTGTATGTCTGTACTCTTACCTTCCTGAAAATTTATAACAATACATAAACACACAATAAAATTCATTATTCCTGAAATTCTCATTCTTATCTCTTCGACCGTGCGACGGCACCTCAGCTTCCCGACTGTGAGGGCTGCAAGGATTGGCGTTTTTCTGATCCTCACTTTCCTTCACAGAGATCTCTTCAAGACACTCTGGCTTATGACATGTAGGCAGATGGTCAGGCTTTATTGTGGCCGTCAAAACACCTACTTGCTGGACTTGAAATAGTACTTTCAACAACGATGTCCCAATACTTCGCACTCACTCCGAATGAGTCACCCGCTTTATCCGGATCTTGCAAGGATTTTCAGGGTCTGGAGTGGCTTGCCAAGAGTCTGCCGCTGGTTTAACCCTAGAGTGATGAATCCACGGAGTCACTTCTGACACCTTTACAGCTGTTGGAGTGGACATAAGAACAACATAAGGACCTCCCCATTTCGGACCTAATGGATTGACTCCATTCTTTTTTTTTTTTTTTTTTTATCCACACTTGATCGCCTGGATGGTAAGAATGAACAGGTGGATATATGTTCACAGGTAACCTATCTTGTACCCATTTCTGTACTTCCTCCATAGTTCTACCCAACTCTACAACCTGCTGCCGAGTAATTCCCTCACCCAACTGACTCAAATCCCCCCTTAGATTACTGAGTATAGGAGGTGGACGCCCATACATAATTTTAAAAGGAGACAGACCCATTCTACTGGTAGGAGTACTGCTTATGCGCAACAGAGCTATTGGCAAAAGAACATTCCACTTAAGCTGGGTCTCTTGACACATTTTTGCCAACTGGGTCTTTTTAGTTCTGTTCATCCTTTCCACCTTCCCAGAACACTTAATACCAAGCATATGAGTCAGTTGTTGTAGGCACTGATGAATAAAGGCTGGGCCATTATCTGATCCTATAGAGCACGAGAGTCCATATCTGGGTATGACTTCTTGCAACAGGAATCGTACAACTTCTCCTGCTTTTTCCGTACAGGTTGGACAAGCTTCTACCCAACCTGAGTAGGTACACACAACTACCAACAGGTAACGATATCCTCCAGATTTAGGCATTACTGTATAGTCTATTTGCAGATCTGACATGGGGAGTCCTCCCATATGCTGGACCCCAGGAGGTTTAACAGGGCCTTGTCTTGCGTTGTTCTTTGCACACAGAACACATCTTCGAATAGTGTCTTGAGTAAGATTGGATAATCTTGGTATATAGGAATGTTTCCTGAGCAATTCTTCCATACTATCTCCTTCCTGTATGTGTGCCTTTGTGGAAGTTCTGAACAATCTCTATAGCCAGAGATGTCGGAATGACTATTCTTCCATCTTCTAACTGATACCAATTGTTCTCCAAATATTTTCCCGCTTCAGTCTTCAACCACTCCATCTCTTGAGTTGTATAAATCGGGGTCCATTGAGACAGAGGGGCCGACACAAGGGTAGCAACGTACCCCACATATTCCTCCTGTCCAGATTCAGCAGCACGCTTAGCCGCACTATATGCCATGTGATTTCCTTTTACCACATCACTATCGCCTCTCAAATGTGCTCTACAATGTATAATACTGACCTCCTTTGGCTCCCATACTGCTTCCAATAGTTGAAGTATTTCAGCTGCATACTTGATTTCTTTCCCTTCCGAATTCAACAACCCTCTTTCTTTATACAAGGCTCCATGGGCATGAATGGTTAAAAAAGCATATTTTGAATAAGTATATATGTTCACCTTCAACCCTTCAGCCAATTGCAAGGCCCGTGTCAGTGTAATCAATTCTGCCTTCTGTGCTGATGCCCCTTTTGACAGTGGCCGTGCCTCTATCACCTTGTCTATAGTTGTTACCGCATATCCTGAATAGCGAATTCCTTCTTTCACATAGCTACTACCATCCGTATAATACTGTACA